ACATATACGAAACATTTGAAACATGTTGAAGTATATGTGTCTTATGAAACCTGTGAAACATATGAAATTCGTGAAACATATGAAACATATAAAACTTGAAGTATGTGAAAGTTATGAAACATTTGAATCATTGAAAATTTTAAAGTATATGAGACATGAAACATTTGTGTTTGTGAATTGAGATTAACTATAAATATCCCGTCTTGTGTCATAGATTTGCTTGTTAGGCCTGAAGTTGGGTATGTCGTCTAGAGACTGAAGTATGGTACATCTCTGTTCTTCAGCAGGAATAGTGGGGTGCCTCATTGTCAAGTGTCGAAAGGGCTGTTTTTTTTTACAGCTGCAAGCAATTAGACAACCAATGCGACTCGGGAATCTAGACATTTGGGAAGACCCACACCTAGACACATCTGAAGGTCTTGGGTTATTTAACTAGAAAGTAGTACTAACTGGGCCACAACTGCAAGTTTATGCGCTCCTTCTATAAAAACCTGTCACCATATCGTGCTGTGATGCATCTGCCAGAGATATTATCATTAGACTGGGTGTCATGTTATTGGGGTTTGTATATATTTATTCCAGCGTCATTTTTTTTTTTGAATGATTTTCTACCACACAATAATAATAATAATAATAATAGAGACACTCTCAATAGATTTAGACTTTGTCAAAAACATTAGGAAACTGGAACAAGATGAAGCGTATAGGTAAATTGGAATTAGCAAAGGAGATGTTATACAACATCCCAAAATGAAGGAGAATGTAAGAGAGATGCCCTATAGGCGTGCCCGTGATGTACTGAATACCGAGATGAACGAAAAGAAAACAGAATATCAACCATAAACACCTTGGCTGTCCCTGTGGTGCATTTAAAATCCTTAACTAGGCCATAGCAGACATTAAGCGAATGGGTGCCAAAACGAGGAAGCTTTTCACTTACTACCGCAGGCATTATCCCAAGGCTGATATTGATCGTCTGTATGTGCCCAGATCAGAAGGAGGCAGAGGAGTAGGTCAACTAGAACTGTCTTACAAAACTACAGCAATTGGCCTTCAAAGATACCTGGAAACTACAGAAGACTGGAGTCATTATTCCGTAATAAAAGAAGCCAACAACTCCAAAAAGGAGTTTCAAATGGGCGTAGGGATGCAACTACAGCACAATACACCGGCTGAAACTGCAAAATACTTAAAAAAGACAGCAAAGACGAATGCAACCGACCAGATACAGAAGCGATGTCAAGATAAACCGCTTCATGGCCAATACTCTGCCCGTACCAAACAAGCTGACGTAGACAAAACCCGTACCCATCAGTGGCTACGTAGTGCAGGGTTGAAAGCGGAAACTGAATGTTTTATCCTTGCTGCACAAGACCAATTCTTGTTAACTAGGAATTATCAAGCACACATGCAAAAATATTGTGTTAACCCAAAATGCAGGTTCTGTGATAAATACCCCGAAATAATTGATCATCTTGTATCAGGTTGCACGGTATTAGCACCCACTGAATATAAAACCCGGTACGACAGAGTGGGACAATATTTGCACTGGAAAATCTCTAACTTCTATGGGAAGGAAACTGAAAGAAAGTGGTATGAACACCACCCAGACCCGGTTACGGCGATAGAACCTGTTACAATTTTATGGGACTACACAATACACACTGACAGAACAATCAAAGCTAACCAACCAGACATTGTTACTAGAAACCGCGCACAAAAAGGTGCCTCCTTATTGATATGGCAGTCCCTGAAGACTGCAATATATCTTTGAAGATATTCAAAAAGCTATCAAACTACAAGGACCTTGAAATCGAAATCTCAAAATGTGGCACATGGGGACATCAACAATCCCTGTTGTAGTTCGAGCCTTCAGATTGGCTGGAGAATATTCCAGTAGACTAACTGAAGGGATACCTTGAAGCCCATACCTTAAAGAAATACAAAAAAATTGTTCTCACGTGTACAGCCCCCCATCCACACATATATTTTAAAAATCTATGTAAAATATGTGTGTGATGCTGCTAACCATTCCTCCACCTCAAAGTGCCTAAGGGTTCTTTGTATTTATAGTAAACTTAAAATAATAATAATTTTAGGTGTGATATATGACGCATTGCCAATCAATATTACAAGTACCGCTTTGTTGAACATCCTCTTAAGTAGGTGTTTACCAGATTCCTTTAATCTTGAGGTCTTCCAGTCAAAGGTCATAACACATCTTTTCTCATTATTCGGACTATTGTCCTCATCTTTGTCGCCATATTTATCACAACGTTTCGGTCGTTGTACGCTCCGGCCTTCTTCTGGTGGTTGGAATTTCGAACTGAACCCTTTATTTCGCTCACTGGGGTAGACTGTTCTAGTTCCACGTGCCATGTTATGTCAGTTATCAGTTATCTCCTGCTAATTTCCTTCTGAAAGTTCTCCACTGCCTTACCCGGGTATTGAACTCACACTCTTTGGGTCCTGTCACTGGATCTCACCAACGACTTTATCCACTGTGCCATGTGTCCTTGTGGAACAAGAACAGTCTACCCCAGTGAGCAAAATAAAGGGTTCAGTTCGAAATTCCAACCACCTGAAGAAGGCCGGAGCGTACAACGGCCGAAACGTTGTGATAGATATGACGAAGAAGATAAGCATATAAGTATAAAAATATTTTTGAAAAAAATGTATATATAAGTTTTTGTACAAACGTCACTTGTCTTGAGAAAAGCGGTTGTACTGATACTCAACGCGTCAAAATGAATAAAACGCAACCAGCGTGAATGGCATGCAACTGAAACTTGCATAATAGGATGCTTATCGTGTTCATCTTGGAAACACCATTTTTTTCGCAAGACAAGGAGTATTTGTACAAAGACATTATTTTGTGTAGATTTTTGTTTTATATTTTTATACTTGAATTCAGTTTTTAAGCATAACTTGAAGAAGACAGACACATTGTCGAATTATTGTTGAACATTGTCAAACAATGTCTTTATTTTCTTAAATCGCGCCCTTTTCGAAATTTTGAAAAAAATTGAAGAAAATCATTTTGGCTATTATTATTATTATTATTATTAATAATAATAATAATAATAATGAAAAGTACTGTACATAAAGTGAAAAGGCCTTGTCGTCTGTTAAAAGTTGGTGTTTGTGTGAAGGCGCAATTCCATGTTCGAAAGCCAAAGTTTATAGAAGGGACTACATAAAAGTTTATTAAATTTTCTATTGTATCATATGTTTGTGTGGTCAAACAAATGTGATGAACGTCTTACCTGGTCGTTGCAAATCTTGTACATCGTATGATCACCGGGACAGTCTTCCTGCTTCTGACTCTGACACATTCTCCTCTTTAAGGAGATGCCCTGGCCACAGGTTTTCATACAAGGGCCATAGGCACTCCATGGTGTCCAGCTGCTGGTCACTGGATCAAAAACCACCTAGGTAAAAAAAAGAAGAAAGAATTGAGATTAACTTAAATCGGTTCATAGATTCTTATAGAAAACTATGTGAACAAAAGACGTTTGGGGTAATGATTTAATCGATTCAATTGTACAGCATATCAATTCGGAGAGCCGAGTTTGAATTACAGTTGGGTTCATTACATTAAATTACGCGTAAATACCATTGGGAAAGGTATGAATTCATCTCTTCTCCTCTGCCTAACCCCAGCAGAAACTAACGACAACCTACTGCGGAAAAAATTTCAGCCAAGTCTGTATCGAAAGATACATGATCGCTTAAGCGTGAATCACGTGTGGCACGTGTGACTGACAGACTGACTGAATCGACGATAGGAGTATAAGGATAAGAAAGCTTTCTCCGGGATCTTCCTTCGTAATATACAGAATTTGATTGTCATTAAACTTCTGGGGGAGGGCTTCTAGCCAATTCCTTGTTGCAAACGCCTGTTCAGGCGTATTTGTGTTTGTTCAACACCCAGAACGCCCCGCCTGTGGGTTATACTGCAATTTTTCAGAGCAGACCTTAGTTACAATTTCTGAGTATCAACAGTATTTTAAACAAGGCCAGCACGCTAACACCCTCGATAACAATGACTTGTAAGATGCGAGCTAGAACAAACTTCGACGTCCTCTGAACAGTTCTACCTACCCAATTTCGCTCAAAATTCTTGGGTTAACTCTGAGCCTCTGCTGAGCGATGGGCATATAACCATTTCCAAGGTTTCTGCTATCATCTCTAAATTAGAACCCCACAAATTATGTAGACTCGATAGCATTTCTGTAATAGTCATTAAGAAGTGTGCACCCCCACCGAACTAACCCCTGTTCTCTCTAAACTGTATAGTAAATGTCTCACTGCCTCCTGCTTTTCTGCTTGTTGGAAGTCATCATCTGTTTTCTAGATTTTAAGAACTCTGGTGAACCGGCCGACCCTTTCAACTATCAACCTGTTAGTATTCTTTAGGGAAACTCCTAAAGTCCCTAATCAATGCTGAATAGGGTCATCATCTCGCATCGCAGGGCCCTTTTCTCAGTAAAGGAATATGGCTTTCGTTACTCCAGGTCAACTACTGATGTATATAAATGATAACTGTGGAAAGAGTTCCCCATACACTAGATAAAAATGGTGAAACCCGGGCTGTAACATTGGACATCTTGGAAACGTTTTACAACATCTGACATTCAGATATTTTCCAAGAACTGAAAAATTGCAGTGTCTCCGGAGATTTTTTTTTAACTGATCCAGTCTTTCCTACTAAATGTTGAAATGAGGGTCATCCTAAACGGCCACTCGTCTAGATCCTCTCGTACTAGCGCAGGTGACTTCGAGGGCTCTATCGTTTGTTATACTCTATTTTTTTTTATTTTCATTAATGACCTTCCTGAAGACCACAACTCTCAACTTGGTATCTACGCTGACGACACAACAATTTATTCCTGCCTTGATAGTAAGGCTGATTAGTCTGACAAGGTCAAAAGCAGAAGATATCCAAAACTATCATTGTTAACTGGGGCAAAAGATGGCTTGTGTCGTCATGGCTGATTCTAACCTCCAGGAATGTGACTCGTTGAAGAAGAAGAAGAAGAAGTAGAAGAAAGAGGAGGAAGAAGAAGAAGAAAAGGAGGAGAAAGAAGAAGAAGACGGAGCGGAAGAAGAGGAAGAAAAAGAAGAGGAAGAAGAAGAGGAGGAGGAGGAGGGAAGAAGAAGAAGAAGAGGAGGAGGAGAAAAAAGAAGAAGGACCTGGCCTGTAGGTATATTTTTAGCTGGGTCTCATCGGCAAGGTTATGTATTGCTTTAATCAAAACCTCTAATCATACTTCAAATTTGTTTATGAGACATGTTCCTGGTATCTTCAATTCAGACTGGATGTCATGTTGGGTTTATTGGACTTTGAATTCTAGTGTCATTTTAATTGTCTGCCGCGGTGTCAATCAAGAATAATATTAATAAATAAGGGCTAGACTGAGGAGACCAAAAAATAAGACGAGATGCGGATGTAAGCAGGGGCGGGGGATAGAATTGAAAGGAAGAAATAATTAAGATGTGAAATGAAGAAATTAAAAAAAAAATATTCAGAAAATTAAAAGGAAAAGAAGAACAGAAAAAGATTTCTTGAACTGAAATCTTTCGTTTTAAATGCCAAGTTTCTTTGGCGTCATTAAAGAAAATATTACCCCCAAAGAAAAGACAGCCGACACACACGCTCATAAAAAAAAAATCGTTACGTAAGCTCTTCTGGCAATGAAAAAAGAAACTCGTATTACACTTGCCAGGAAAAGACGACAGCCTCACGTTTAATTAACAATAGCTATCCAAAATGCCTAAAGTTAATTCCTTTCAAAGCAAAAGTATTTTAATTTAGTTAATTAAAATGTAAATTAAGAAATGGGTGAACTGATATATAATTTTGGCGCCAAATTTTCACCGCTAAGGGGGCTCATTAATTGTTCGTCGCGACTTTATATTTTAAATAACCAATTCTCGGTCAAATTTAACTATATATATATATATATATATATATATATATATATATATATATATATATATATATATATATATATTGAGACAAGTTTCGTTGAATAATTTAGACGTTCTGTCTACGTATTTACAATTGGATCATTTCGTATATCACGGATAAGCTTTTTGGTGTCGTTATTGAAGGACGAGAGAAAATCGGCGTGTTGATACATATTTCTTTTATTTCCCAGTACTTGCGACATAACACAAGGTCATCATCAGGGTATTGTTTATTGCAAGACAAATAGTGTAGTATATTTTGTCGAGGACAAAATTAATGTTTTCATTCGAAAGCAAAATTTTTTACTTGTGGACGCTGAATCAGTGCGTGATCGCTGACATTGTTTAAGGGGAATTAACTAAGTATGGTTGTGGAGAGATTTTTTAAGAAATAAGTAGTAAAAAAACCTATTAGTGTAAACTTGTAGACAGAACACGTCTAATATGTTCAACGAAATGACTCAATGAAAACATGCTGCCAAAATATATAATAATAATAATAATAATAAATAATAATAATAATAATAACTGGCCACACGAGGATAGCCGTTTACTAGGGCGGTTAGGCAGTCCCTAGTGCAGACTCTCGTTCAGGCACATTTGTGCTTGTTCAACACCCACAGAGCCAACCTGAGCGGACCTTAGTTACAGTTTCTGAGCGTGTTATCTAGCATGATCAACAATCTGAACAACGCCAGCACACTCAAAATCTCGGTCACTATGACTTGCGCACGGCTATTGGGGGCTTCCAAGTTTTCCGTCAAACCAAGGTATGGTTTTCGGGCACTTTCCAAAAGTAGACAGATAACGTCAGGAAGTCTCTTTTCTGAGAAAATCAACCGTGGTGAAATATATTGAGAATCTCTGACTGATGACAAACTGGTCGGGTTTCGATCCCGGCTTGAAAAGATCGGATGTCTATCCACACTGATGAGTTGTGAAACAGTGAAACAGTCTGTCTATTGATGACTATATATATATATATATAAATATATATATATATATATATATATCATGAAATGGACAAAGTTCGACAATTATTTTGAGACATTTTTTTAAGTTTATACATTGTTTTTATAGATACAGATATTTAAGTAAATGTTCTGTTTTAAACAACTGCATTAAACAACAATATATATATATATATATATATATATATATATATATATATATATATATATGCACAGGTTCTAATGTAACAGTCTGTAAATATTTATTGCTCTATTTTTGCATTGAGCCCGGTTTTAAATTAATATTTTGGATGTTGAAATTTTATTCTTCGTTCTTTCACATCTGTACAACACGCGCACACACACACACATACATAGACACACACACACACACACACACACACACACACACACATATATATATATATATATATATATATATATATATATATATATATATATAAACATTTAAATCAACATCTAAACATTTAAATTACAATACCGTCAGTCTATACATATATATATATATAATATGTATATATATATATATATATATATATATATATATATATATATATATATATATATATATATATTTAAATGAAATATATAATTTCTAATGGACTATAATGTCCCTAATAAATCTTATTTATAAAAGCATTTAATGACTATTCTACTTAAATAATATAGTTTTATTGTCTTTTTTAACGATTCAGAGCAAATTTTCGGTGACTGGGTAAACTGTTCTACAAAAACAAAAACAAAAAAAACAAACAAAAAAAACTGATGATTTAAATTCTTAAAGACGTCCTGCTTTTAACTGATAAAACAAATTTTAGCCCTAAAATGTAATTTCTCGAAATTTCATGAAATTAAATAAGTGGGGGATAATATATGTAAATAAAAAAAAAATTACCAAGATTTTCTAAAAAAAAATAAAAAAATAAAAATAATCTCATTTATTTGTGAACGCCCTGAAAGTATCCTTAAAATCCGACAATTATTTTATTTTTGCAGGAATTTCCAAAACAATGTGTGTTTCACCGGTAAAAAGCGCCAAAACCCTGATCATTATTCGTAACATTATGTTTAACCAAAATTTCGAACTTTCTAGAAAGGGTTAAAAAATTTCAAAATATGATACAAAAAAAAATTTTGGTGGTTCATTTAATGATAAATATTTTGATGATAAAACTTTGTTTTTGTTTTTTTAATTTGGGGGCCTTTTATGTCATGCTTTGCCGTTTTTTTTTACCACGAAAAATGGTGGCACCTATATATTTGTTAATATCAGTAACATGTAAAACCAAATCAGTTGCTCAAATGCCACTCTTTAGGAGACGCCATTTGAAATGTTGTTTCCACCCAATATTTATAGTAATTACAAAGAGTTTATTATACTAATTATTACTTGTTTCAGAAATAATGGGAATGTTTAAAATGGTGGAATAAAGAGTATTAAAAGAAAAGACAAAAATTGGGTTCTATCTTTTGATTTTGGCGAAATGTGAAGACTTCGGTGACTGCATGGGAGGTAATTTGGTTGGGCGAAAGAATTTGGTTGTCATCAAAATGAAAAACGCAATAAGCAGGAGCAGAATTTCACCTCAATGCCTGAGAAAATGATAAAGTGTTTAAGTGTCTTTAAAGGCCTATTAAAATAGGGCAAAAATAGATAGATAGATAGATAGATAGATAGATAGATAGACAGATATGAACTTAGATAGTTGTATAGATATAAACTGAGAAAGATATAAACTAGATGAAATAGTGAAAGAATGAAATAAGTAAACATACATGAAGATAGATCGATAGATAAGAATGAAATGAGATAGATAGATAAATGTAGACTTAGATATGAACTGAGATTGTTTGATATGAAATAGATGAGTTAGATAATGAAACAAGTAAACATATATGAACATAGATACATAGATAGATATGAACTGAGATAGATATGAACTAGATAAGATAGTGAGAGAATGGAACAAGTAAACAGATAGATAGATAGATAGATAGATAGATAGATAGATAGATAGATAGATAGATAGATTCAAACTAATAGTCAGATGTAAATAGAGGAAGAGATATCAATAAATATTTGACAAATTTAGAGAGGGACACACAGAGAAAACTGATTAGTCGATGATATATCAATAGATATGTATATCTTGAGATAAACAGATACATAAACATACCGGGATGATGGCATGTGACGAATTTGACCAAAGCTCTACTCACACTGAATTTAAATATTTAAAGATCAAATTTGACTGGAGAGTAAGAAGGGGGAATAGAGTTACCAAGCGTGAAGTACGAGAAAAGTAACTTACGGTTACATCTAGCCATTTCAACTGTAAAATGATGAGACCTTGCCATCAATCTAGTACTGCACTTAAATTCATAAAGTCTATGGACCATAGTGAAAAGAAGAATTAGCATGAAATTATTTAAAGGAAAGGCAAAGAAAAGCTACATTATGGTGGTAGGAAAGTGACTGAAGCCGAGATGCCAATAAATGAATCTTATGTGAGAGAAGAAACTGTTAGCATAGAACTTACGGTTACATCTAGCCATTTCAACTGTAAAATGATGAGACCTTGCCATCAATCTAGCACTGCACTTAAATTCATAAAGTCTATGGACCATAGTGAAAAGAAGAATTAGCATGAAATTATTTAAAGGAAAGGCACAAGAAAGCTACATTATGGTGGTAGGAAAGTGACTGAAGCCGAGATGCCAATAAGTGAATCTTATGTGAGAGAAGAAACTGTTAGCATAGAACTTACGTTTACATCTAGCCATTTCAACTGTAAAATGATGAGACCTTGCCACCAATCTAGTACTGCACTTAAATTCATAAAGTCTATGTACCATAGTGAAAAGAAGAATTAGTATGAAATTATTTAAAGGAAAGGCACAAGAAAGCTACATTATGGTGGTAGGAAAGTGACTAAAGCCGAGATGCCAATAAGTGAATCTTATGTGAGAGAAGAAACTGTTAGCATAGAACTTACGTTTACATCTAGCCATTTCAACTGTAAAATGATGAGACCTTGCCATCAATCTAGTACTGTGCTTAAATTCATAAAGTGTCGTTACCATAGATGAAAGATTATCAGAACAATTACTATGGAAGTATTGATAGAAAAAGCACAGGGAAGCGACATTACAAGAGTAGAAATAGGACTGAAGCAGAAATACTAGGCCAGGACCAATAATATAGCAGAATTTCCTTTGGGTTTTATCTCTAAATATAAAGCAGGAGCACAAGACCGTATGTGGCAGCAATATTCAAAACATGCAAGAATGGTAGACTTATAAGTATATAATCTAGATTCTTACGAGAAAATATCTGTCTAGCAAGACACTGTGAATCACCTTTGCTGCCAGCAGACCTAGCAATGGATTCAATATAATCTTTCCATTTTGAATTTGCATTTGGAATTGACAAGGTTTGGGCTTTACATGTCCACTTCATTATTAAATAGCCATGTTTTTATTCTTTCTTTTATCGTCTTCGCAGAAGTCAGTTAAAGTTCATTCAAAGTCCCTTGAATATCGAGATCTCTATATATCAAATATCTATATATCAAATATCTATATATCAAATATCTATATATCAAATATCTATATATCAAATAATAAACAACACACACAAACACCTTTGTCTACTGTTTTCAGTTAAAATAAATAAAATCTTTCTCTCAGTGTAATTTTTCAGAAAAATAAGTTTATCAAGTCCAGTAGCTGTCATCGCTCTTTCCCCTACTAATGGGAGTTTCCTTTCTCACCTTTTATTTGACGTAATGTCAACATCTTAGCCATGTTATCATTTTGTCTTCGAGTTACATGTGTTATCCATATTAGTTGATTTGTGTCAGTAGTCCTCAGAAGATGGCCTGGTCTTATCCATCGACTTATCTCTTCCCTTTGTTTTATATACAAGTACTTGGGTTTTTATAATGATAACACCTTATCACTCGTCTATTATTATAATACTAGTGTACCCTAGGAATGTACTCTAACTAATATGTATTATATTGTAAGTAATTTTCGTTTAATTCAAGTAGAATTTCGTAATTTAAAATAATTCGTTGTTAACGTTGATAACATAACAGTGTAAAATTTATGAATACCTAAGAAAAGATATCCGTATATTAAGCTCATAAATGTTACATATTTACAACCAAAATTATGTTTACTGCAAAAGTTCCCAAAGCACAATATTTTTTGTGTAAACTTTGGAATGTCTGAGTAATTCTTGACAGTCCGTAGATTCAATCTGTAATTCTAGAGTCTGCTTATTTCTCGTCCTACTAAGAACAACGTATCATCAAAACATTTTTCTACTTTATTTATTTTTTCTCAAGGTATTAGCAAATCCCACAAGTTATTTTTCGAAACGTAACATAAAAACTGCATTAAAACATCTAATTATTAAATTGTATAAACTTTTAATTGCTATTATAAATAATATAAACGAAGGACGTAATGTGAATTAAAAAAAAAACACTTTTGATGACGAATGGATTATTATAAGAATTTTTCCCGTCTCACTTTGTTAATTATAATTTTTAAAGTTTAAAAGAAATTCCTAAAAATCATCAAAGAATTCTTGAAGATATATGTGGCGTATTATATATACGAACTCTCTTCGATTGCGATATCAGTAAGTGTCAACGGGACCAAGTTAGCACGGCACTCGGTGGGTCATCGTTATTTTGCACACTGCCCCCACCAAAATGTTACCCACATACAAAAAAAAAAAAAAAAAAAAAAAAACAAACACACACACACACACACACACACATATATATATATATATATATATATATATATATATATATATATATATATATATATATATATATATAGAGAGAGAGAGAGAGAGAGAGATGTGTATGGAGATGTGGTTATATGTGTGTGTGTGTGTGTATTTTGGTATGTATGTATTCATATATATCTGTATATGGGTGTATATGTATGTATATATGTATGTATGTATGTATGTATAGTTAGACGAATAGATAAAGAGATACATTGTTTATTTGTTTAGATGGGTGTATGTAATTGTATAGAGATGTAAGGTTTTATGTTTTGTATGGAGACGTAAGGTTTTAAGTTTATTTGCACGTATGTATATGTCCGTACGTATATATGTGTGTAAATGTATATATATGAAGGAGTGGATGTCTATGGATGTATGTGTATATGTATGTAAGTGTGTGTGTGTTTATGTATGTATATGTGTACATGGGTATATGTATATGTATGTGTATACACGCCTATATGTATGTATGTACGTGCAAATATAAATATGTTGTTGTGTATGCGTGTATATGCATGTGTTTTTGAACATAGAAATACAGGCCTTTGCTAGATTAGATAATCGTTATATATTTTTTTTATATATGTTTATATTTGATTTGTAACCTGTAGTCGGTATTAATATTGTCAAATTTTCTTAATTACACAGCGGCCCTTTCAGTAAATCCCCTTCGGTTTTAGTTCCCCTCACCCCATCTCTCTCCCCCACCCCTTTTTTTCTTTTCTTTTCCTCTCCCTCTCTCATCTTCTGACCTTTACGATTATATCGTCTATTGTGTGTGTATGTCACCAGAAAATGTATCCTTTCCGGTTACATCTTTAATGTATTAGACATCCGACAACATTCACGTTTCTCTCACTTTAACCGTCTTTGACTCCCCTCTTTAAAACTTCTCTCTGTTAAAATTTAATCCCCCTCCCTTCATCTTTAGACCTTCCAGTTCTTCTCCTGTTCTTCTCTCGTCTGTTACCCCTCTCTATAGCTTTCATTTACTCTAACATTCATCCCACACTCTCATACATACACTCTCAATAAATTTTATTTTTTATTCCCGGAGTTGTTTTTTCTGTTTTCGTTTTGAATTTGTAGGTCTGATGAATTGGAAAGAACAGTAAGATATATAATCCGGTGTTCTTATAGATATTTTTATTTTTACAAAATAGTGCTCAATGTAAATTTACAGAGCATTCATATTTTAAATTAATTGATTTAGAATATGTTTTTTCGCTACACAGTTCTAACCATGTTTCAAAAATGGAAGCTAAAAACCCAGTAATTTTAAAAGTTACTCCAAGATTCGCTTGAGGATGAAATGGAACTAATGTCTTTAATTTAATTACAAAATTAAATTCGGGGCTTTTAGCTTCTATTTTTGAAACATGGTTAGAACTGTGTAGCGAAAAAAAACATATTTTAAATCAATTAATTTATAATATATATATATATATATATAGCTTGCAAAAATAGCATTTTTTTCACTTAGGGCATTTCGGGTACTCGTAAACGTCAAACTGTCATAAAAGGTAACGGCTCAGCATATTAATCCTTTCCATTGCTTTTCCACTTAATTAAGTCATTATTTATCGCGCATTTTAGTATATAACTCTTCTACCTGGAGTTTATATACTAAAATGCGGGACGTGTCGGATTTTCAAAGAGAACAACTGGGATCAAAACATTGGAAATATTGATTGTGTTATGTGCTGTAATATCCACGGTTATGGCGGCATACACAAAACAAGGCAAAACATTATCAGCAAAGAATAATAGTGAACGGAAACACAAATTGACCGAAAGAAAGCGATGAATTTTAAAACGAATTATAGCAAAAATCACAATCTCCTGGAGCAAAAGTAACATCAACACTCATTAATCTCCCTAACCAATACAGTTTCTATACGCATAGTACGTCAAGATCTCCACAAAGCTGATATCCAGGGAAGAGCTATGATTCTTAAAATTCTAATTTCAAAGTCCAACGCCAAGTCGTGAAAAATGATGATCACAAAATTTGGACATTCGAGTAATAGTTAATTGGTTTGATGAATCTTCTTTCACGTTATTTCCTACAAATGGGCGTGTTTATATCTGGAGAACACGACTAAAAGCCTATGAGCTGGATTGCAAGATCCCGACAGTCAAACATGGACATGGATCAGTAATGATTTGGGCGGCAATTTCTTCGAATTCTTCTGGTCCTATCACCACACTTAATGGTAGAATTGCCACAGATAAATATCTTGACACTCTCAATGACAATGTCGTTACAATGACAGAAAGTGCAATATGCCAAGATGAGTTGCACCTATACACACTGCAAATATGAAGTTATTGTCCGATGAGCATCATAACGTGATTAAACATCTTCCGTGGCCAACACA